TTTTGAGCTCAGTTTAAGTGTAGAAACATTGTGAAGTGTTTCAATGAACTTATCATCATCGCTCAATTTTTTTTTTTTTTTTTTTTTTTTAAAGAGAGAAGAAAGAAGAATAATTAAATTGTAGTGAACTAGGCCTGAGGTCAAGTCCTGACCTTAAGGACCTTATGGGACAGAAACTGTCATTTCATTGATTTGAATCCAGAAATACAGGTTGACCCATCCTGAGACTTTCTTTCTTGAATTAATCAAGTGAAAGAACACTACTTTCGATTATCATTACTATTTTACAAATGTTTGATAATCAAATTGTGTTAGTTCAATCCATTTTTAAATGTTGAAGTGAACTACTCATTTTTAAATCAACTGTGAAACAGTAATAACGATTTTTAATCCTCATTCAAAGTGGAAATCAAGTTGGAATATGTTACAGAGTAATGATTCAATTTCTTGATCGTCTGTTTGAAATGAGCAAGTTGTGTAAGTTGGTCAAAGTTCAAGTTTCGGTCAACTGCAAGTTTACTGAAAAAGAAATGTCATGTTTAACTTTTACAGCAAGATACTAGAGAATTGACTCCACGAAGTCTGAGTTCTTCATAATATCTTCTGTCTGTTCTTAAACAATCTTAATCTTTTTCCTTGACTTTTTAACAACACCTTACATCACAAAACACACCTCTGTTTTGGTCAATCGACCAATCAGAAAGTTCTCAAATGAACCGGAAGTGAGCCCTTTTAAAAGGTGCAACACTTCCTAGTTCACTGTAGAAGAAGAAGTTCTGCAGGAGCTCGAGCAGTTCTGCAGTTCTGAAACTCGGCAGTTCCAGAGTCCAGAATGCTGGAATGCAGAATACTGGAATGCAGCATGCTCAGGACATCTGCAACTAAGCTGGACGAGAGAAGTTCAGAGGAATTATGAAGTCTGTTCTGGATGATCTCACGACTCCGAACGGTTCCCTACTGTCCTTACGGAGACGCTGAAAAGTGGCTCGAAGTGGAACTTTACGCCGGAACTGACACATCTTCAAAAAGGTAAAAAGTCGATCTTCAACCGCAAAGCGTACCGTTGGGTTAAGCTGGTCCGAAGGAGCGTGCTGTTTCTGGTTATAACAGACAAATTCCCTCCCCATCTCTCTCAACTTAAACTTCATTTCCCATCTCTAAAATTCTTCTATCCTGCTAGCAAATCATTCCAGATATTTTTCAGAAATGTCTGTGTGAAGCTGGAAGCAAGGTTTTCAACCATCGCCGTATGGTCTTCCTTGTAAAACTTGCTAAATTAAGCCATGTTGTTATTTTTCATATTTTGCCAATTAATGTGTGATGATGTTAAAATTTTGATTCTGAAAATAAATGACCACGTTCATTTTGATGGGTCAAAGATAATTAACGTCTCACGTTACATTTTTTATTAAATTCAATGCACGTTATTATACAGTCCAGAAAAATGAAAGAATCCGTTTAATTTATGAATATATCATGCATATGTTCATTCTACAAAATAATAAAAGAGAAATAGATAAAACGAGAGACCACCACGACAAAACAACATGCACAGCACAATGCCACCCACAATATCACCATGAAACATTCGACATTGCACAAGGAATCATCTAGCTTCCACCACTACCCAACCTAGCGTGCATCTGTCACAGCACCTGAATCCAAACACCCGTGCAAGCACGCCTGCCACCACCAGATTTCTCCAAAAGAATGCCCAATAGTGGACGCGGGGGCCCACAGACCCGTCCCCCCAGGACACAATGGCAACATAGGGAGGACCGGAGCCACAGACACACAGCGGCCCACAGGCCCGGAGCCCCAGGAGTCTCCCAACAGGGAGAACCGCACCCCCCAGAGAGGAGCAGAGGAAAGAACCGGGTGACCCCAGCCACCACAATGCAGAGCCTCCAGGAAGCTGCAGCGACGAGCCCACAGGTCCGGCCGGCGACCCATGCACCCCCCCAAGTAGATCCGGCCATGGACACCGAGCCCCAAGCCCCGAGGCCATACCACCCCCCGGCAGAGCCCCGACAGAGCCAGGGCACCCAGGCCCCGCCAGGCTGCAACCAGGGCAGACCGACGTGCACCCCACCACCCAGCCCAGACACCGAGAGCCACCAATGCACCAGCGGCAAGGGGGTCCCCCGCCAAAGGGGGGCACGACCGGGGGGAGTGGGCCCCACACCAAATGTGGGGTCCAAATTGATCCAAGAGAGGGGTACCACCAAAAACCCAACCTGAGCAACCAACAGGCACACACAGATAGCATGCACCATCTACCTGACAGCGACCACAGGCCGGCCCCAGCCCAAAGGGCAGAGCAGCATGGAGC